AGGATCGGCCGACTATATCCTATAGCTGCCATATAACTGAACGATTGGAAATGCCATAACTTTGGTGTTTTTAAAGTTAGGAAGTTGGGATTTTTTATGAGTATTAAAAATGCATCATATGAATAATTTTGGAGAATATAATTTACATAGTATTCTGCAAGGGTATATCAACTTCGGCTCCGCCCGAAGTTAGCTTTCCTTTCTTGTTTTGGTTTTTTTTGTTGTGTTTTTCCGTCCTTTTTTGTCCTAAAAACACTCTTCTCTGACAACAGACACCCCAAAAGATTAATTATTTTAAAGTTAATTTCAGCAGACGGGCAACGCTATGCAATTTTCTGATATTTTTTTGTCGATGTGAGTACCGGGGTAAAAAAAGACCGAAAAGTGTACGCCAGCTGTGTGCGAACTCGGTTTTTGATCCGATTACTAGGCTTAAGCAACCCTGCAGTACCGTTCACCAAAATTTAATCACTGCTGATTAATCATTGATGAATCTTCATACAAATTAGTGATGAATTTAACATTGGCATGTCCTAGGAGTTAATCAGTGAAAAATTCATCACTCTTTAATCAGTGAAAAATTCATCACTCTTTAATCAGTAATTCATCGCTTTTTCATCTCATTTTTATCGCTTATTCATCGCATTTTCATCGCTTTTTCATCGCGTTTACATCGCTTTTTCATCGCTTTTTTTCATCAGTAAAATTCATTCAGTAAATTTTCATATAAATTTCTTTTTATTTTATTACATTATTATTTCATTACATATAACTAAATAATTTAACTTAATTCAATCTACATATGTACGTTTTCAGTTGTCTCGGAGGTGTTGAGGATGTTTCGGTTTCGGTGCCCTTTTTTTGACTTCGTGCTTTATGTACTGGCTCTTCCTGACCAAGTATATCTAAAATAGAAAAATTATTATAAAATATATAAAAACTTACTGCGTTTCTTGTTTTGCCGCCGGCCAAGTCCAGCTTAGTTTGTGCTGGCCCAACAGTTTTATTATAAGCTTCGCCTTAAATAATGAATAAATATATTAACAGTATATGTAGGTACAGTTCAAAATAATTAATAAAATAACACTTACCTAAATTTCTGATAAATTTAGTTATAAAATTTCACAAAAAATCTCAGCTTCGATCTGTTCTCTCCGTTCTCTCAAATGCAAGTGCACGTAAAAACCGCGAAAACAACTTCAGTTAAAAACAAGAAAGGGAAGCTAACTTCGGACGGAGCCGAAGTTGATATACCCTTGCAGAATATTCTGTAAATTATATTCTTCAAAATTATTCATATGATGTATTCTTAATACTCATAAAAAGTTTCAACTTGCTAACTTTAAAAACACCAAAGTTATGGCAAAGTTATGGCCAATCGTTCAGTTATATGGCAGCAATAGGATATAGTCGGCCGATCCTGGTAGGTCGGATTGATTGGCCAAATATAAAACCTATAGAAAATCCCAACTTCCTAACTTTACAAACACCAAAGTTATGGTATTTCCGATCAATCAGTTATATGGCGTCTATAGTACATCGTTGTGCGATCCTTATGAAATTCGGTAGGTCGGATTAATTGGCCAAAAATAAAACTCATAGAAAATCCCAACTTCCTAACTTTAAAAACACCAACGTTATGGCTTTTCCGATCGTTCAGTTATATGGCAGCTATATGATATAGTCGCCCGATCCGGCTCGTTCCGACTTATATACTACCTGCAATAGAAAGAGAACTTTAGGGAAAGTTTCAAGCAGATATCTTTAAAACTGAGGGACTAGTTTGCGTAGAAACGGACGGACGGACAGACGGACGGACAGACGGACGGACAGACGGACATGGCTAGATCGACTCTCCTGGTGATGCTGATCAAGAATATATATACTTTATAGGGTCGGAAATGTCTCCTTCACTGCGTTGCAAACTTTTGACTGAAATTATAATACCCTCTGCAAGGGTATAACAAGGGCGCCGTTTATCCTATTGTTCTTTCCTTTGCCTAATTTGTCTTTACATGTTTCGCTTCGCGTCAAAGCAGGGTATATAAAAGCATGTCCGACTATGCAAAATAATCACATAACTTAAATTCACTTAAAAAAGAAATCCGTACCCTTCAAAACTATCATAATAATTTTATTTTTAAAAAGTATTTCCATAAAATAATATAATTAATAAGAATCAACGACTACAATACAAAAACAAGAGAGAACGCTATAGTCGGGTGCCCCGACTATCAGATACCCGTTACTCAGGTAAAGGGAGTGCGAGGGAGATGGAGATAGAAACTTTGATCACGCATAACTACATTTCGATAGGTATTGATAAACACAATAAAACTGCATTTTTACTTTTCCGAAATATTTAAATTTTTAAAATCGTATATTAGCGATTGTGGGCGTTAAAGGGGGCGTGGTACCAGTTTGAAACAAACTTGCGCTGCGTAGGAACTCCTAAAATCTACATGCAAAATGCCAATCTTCTAGCTTTTATAGTTTCCGAGATCTCAGCGTTCATACGGACGGACAGACAGACGGACAGACAGACGGACAGACGGACATGGCTATATCGACTCGGCTAGTGACCCTGATCAAGAATATATATACTTTATAGGGTCGGAAACGCTTCCTTCTAGCTGTTACATACTTTTGCACGAATACAATATACCCTTTTACTCTACGAGTAACGGGTATAACAAGAAAGGAAAGCTAACTTCGGGCGGAGCCGAAGTTAATATACCCTTGCAGAATATTCTGTAAATTATATTCTCCAAAATTATTCATATAATGCATTCTTAATACTCATAAAAAATCCAAACTTCCTAACTTTAAAAACACCAAAGTTATGGCATTTCCAATCGTTCAGTTCTATGGCAGCTATAGGATATAGTCGGCCGATCCTTATGAAATTTGATAGGTTGGATTGATTGGCTAAAAATAAAACCCATAGAAAATCCCAACTTCCTAACTTAACAAAAACCAAAGTTATGGCATTTCCGATCAATCAGTTATATGGCGGCTATAGGATATAGTCGGCCGATCCTTATGAAATTTGGTAGGTCGGATTGATAGGCCAAATATAAAACCCATAGAAAATCCCAACTTCCTAACTTCACAAACACCAAAGTTATGGCAATTCCGATCAATCAGTTATATGGCAGCTATAGGATATAGTCGGCCGATCCTTATGAAATTTGGTAGGTCGGATTAATTGGCCAAATATAAAACCCATAGAAAATTCCAACTTCCTAACTTTACAAACACCAATGTTATGGCATTTCCGATCAATCAGTTATATGGCAGCTATAGGATATAGTCGGCCGATCCCGGCCGTTCCGACATATATACTGCGTGCAAAGGAAAGAAGGGTGTGTGCAAAGTTTGAACTCGATAGCTTTAAAACTGAGAGACTAGTTTGCGTAGAAACAGACAGACGGACAGACGGACATGGCTATATCAACTCAGGAGGTGATCCTGATCAAGAATATATATACTTTATAGGGTCGGAGATGTCTCCTTCACTGCGTTGCACACTTTTGACCAAAATTATAATACCCTCTGCAAGGGTATAATTATGCTTATTTATTTTCAAGGGTGTATAAAGGTCGATCTGATTTTAATACATTGTCCTTCACCTCTCAGGTCATTTGATGGGGAGAGAGACAGAGTAAGAGAGGGAGATGGAAAATTTTCTGCGTTGCCTACGATCGGAGACTGAGAGTTTCGGCTCTGCCTGCGTCCCACTCGGCTCTGCCGACTCTGCCGGCGTCGCAGTCCGCTGCTGATTAAACAGTGATGAATTTTTGTAGTGATGAATTTCGGAACTGCAGGGAAGACTTTGCTCTGACAAGAGGCACCCCAAAAGATTAACACCCTTACAAGAAAACTCCTGCAATCGACCTTTTGCGGGCTTTTTTTAATTTTTCCCTCCATTTTTAAAAATGTTCAGTGAGAAGCGCACGCCAAAAGATTACATTTTTTTTTTTCTTTTCGCTAGGGTTCTCCCAAAAGTTCATTTCAAGAGACTGGCAACGCCATGAAATTTTCTGTTTTTTTCATCGATCTGAATACCGAGGTGAAAAAGAAAGCCAGACGAAAAGTGAACGCCAGCTGTTTGCCTCTCGCTCTTTCTCATGACTGGCGTACAGTTTTCGTCGATCTGATTACTAGGTTTTAACAATTTAATCTTTTGGCGTGCGCTTCTCAATGAACATTTTAAAAAATGGAGGGTAAAAAACAAAAAAAAAAAGGAAAAGGTGATTGCATGAGTTTACTTGTGAGGACAAAATAACATTAATACGATCTGTGGAGTCTCGCCCAGAATTGTGGGATTTGTCAAATAAAAAACATTTTAATGCCACTATTATAAAAGAGCGTGGGAGGAAAGATAATAAGTCTAATTGTAAATTATTAAATATTTGTTAACGTGGACATATACAATATTTATGTTTAGATAATAGTTGAATCTATTACCATAATACATGCCGCCATACCGACAGCCAATTGCACTCTTCCTTCCATTGAACTCGATATTTTCGTTTTTTTAAATTTGTTTGGTTTTCTATTTGTCAACAAACCCAGCTGATTGACAGTATGACCGTAGTACGCTCAGTTCGGATGAACTCTCGAAATTTTTGGTCACACTGGAAAGATTAAAGTCGAGATTAAAGTTTGTCGATCTGAGTACAAGGCCTCCAGAAAGAATCTTAAATGGAGGCAATAAAAAGCCACATTTAACACAATTGAGCACCAAGCATTCGGGAAACGGTGGCTTATAAGAAATAAATATTTTAATTTATAACACATAGTTACTTAATTATTTAAAATAAATTATATCTACATTAAACATTAATTCATTTGTTTAAATTGTTTAATAATGAATTTTTGGAACTTAATTCTTTCTGGTCTTTTTGGATCTCAATGTGTATATCATTTTCCTACCGATAACATAGAAAAATATACAAAAAGGCACTGATTAATATACAATTTTTTTTTTATTTTAGCGTTTTGACCTTTCTATGGACCTGTAAAAAAATCACTTCGCATGTCATCCCACGGTTTTGCAAATACATCAATAATTGAAAAAAGGGCCTGTAGAGAACTACATATTAGTAGGGATACAAATTTTGCAACAGAATTAAATGAAGAAGATTTGGTTATGAGTTTATCTTCAAAGGACATACTGATTCCTACCGCCATTAATCAGCAACATCAAGTGGATACTTCTATTAAATTAAATACAAACGAAACATCGACACACAACACCGTAACAACAGCAGCCGCGGTAGCGGTTGCTCATCATCACCACAATCTTTCAAATATTCACCACCTTCAAAGTCTGCATAGTCAGCATCAGAGTACCTTATTTAATAGTAATCATTCAACACCTTTTAGCGTGACCGATATCTTAAGTCCGATTGAAGAATCGTATCGCAAACTGGAACTAAACGGAAACCCGCCATCTCCGTTTCGGTAAATATAATACCTAAGCATTAAGTATGTCTTAAATAAATTTTAAATATTTTTTAGAGAAAAAAAATACAGAGACCCCACATAGATATTAAATTAATCAATTTCGCTCATATTTGTATGGCTATTAAAAATAAATTTCGCCCCTTTTGTGGAAATTTCGTTGTCCATGAGGGTGAGCGAGAGGCCAGCCACCAGAGAAACCACTATTTTTCAATTTTTAATTTAAAAAAATTTTTTTAGTTGAGAAATACTGTTTTCAATTCGGGCTCTGTCAGAAATCTCTTTTCAGCAAATTCAGTTGCAATTTGGTTAGAGTCTTAAAATATATTGTTCTATAAAGTAGATGTTTACTAATAATGAAAGGTCTGTCCATCTGTCTGTCCGTTTCTACGCAAACTAGTCTCTTAGTTTTAAAGTTATCATCTTGAAACTTTCATAAAATTGTCTTTCTATTACAGGCAGTATAGGAACGAACCGGATCGGGCGACTATATCATATAGATCCCAAAGGAACAATCTGAAAAAACAAATTAAAACCTGAAAGGAAGCTAACTTTGGCAATCCGAAGTTTATATGCCGTTGCAGTTATTAGAACACGACTATATTTTGATTTCTATTCGTATTATTAAAAACAATGAAGCTATGTCGATTTTGCGCTGCATTTTGCCATCGTTTCTATGGCAGCTATATAATAATGTTGTCCGATTTTGACAAAACTAAAAGCGTAATACTGATTTAGTAGATAATTAATATCTCAAAGGAATATTTTTATAAATGAAAAAACAGCAATATAAAATTTATATTTCTAATATATTTTTTTTTAATTTTTTGAATTTTCTATAACAGCTAGTTGATATAGATGCTCCCAAAAAATTAAATAAAGTAAAAATTAAAAATATATAGTAATTACTTACTATAGCAGAATTACGCGTTTAGTTCTGTTAAAATCGAACAACAATATTATATAGCTGCCATAGAAACGATGGAAAAAAGTCTAGCGACAAACGAAATACATAATACACCCAACACACCTTTTTTTGCAACAATTGAACGCCAAGTTTGTTAAAAAAAAACCGAATGGTTTCACTCTGACATTGTTTTCAAAACCGGCCAGATGATCATCTATGTAAGTTAGGCCGAAATTTTTCACTTTCGGCTGGGGTCTATAAGAGCTGTGAGTTTGTTATGTTTAGTAGAAGTTTCGTTGGCCAATATTTGGGGGATTTCAACTGTTTCAATATTAATATTCGTTGGCTTTAGTTCAGTAACAAGAGTAAGATTTCGCGAAATATCATAAAAATATATCTACTTTCAGGTCCAACTCCAGTGGCAGCAGTATAAATTCACCTGGAACATTGCCTACTTCAACTATGGCCAATCCTTATGCTATGGGATCTTTATATCATAGCCCAGGAGTTCAAAGCTACTGCGGACCTACTGATAACCTATCTCTTGCTGGTCACTACACTGATATGAGAAGCTCTGCCTCATGGTATGGATCAACTGCAAACGATCCAAGATTTGCCAGTAAGTAAAATACCACATTTTTGGCAATGTTTCGACCTACTAGTAAAGAACAAGATTTAAGCAAATCAAAATCGGATAGCACTAATAGAGGTAAAATTTAATTGAAAGCCTCGGATCGAAAAACAAGTTCCCCAGCAGAAAAACTTGAATCTTTCCAGTGTGAAAGCATTTTTGAGGTTTCTCAGTATTGAGCGTGCTACGGTCGTATTGTCAATCAGCTGGGCTTGTTAACAAGCCTTTAAAATTAAAAAATCTTATTTGCTGAAAAGAGCCTTTGAAGGATATTCTCAACTACTTTGGCAAGATATTTCTGCCGCTATACAAATAAATTAGAAAACAATATAATTTTTAATAGTTGTTTTTTTTAATTACTGATAATTATTTGGTAATTTAGAGATTACAGCTGCCCTAAATTCTTTTTTGTTGGGGTTTTCACTTTGTTCTGACAACAAACTCCCCAAAAAATTACATCTTTTAATCTATTCGCTAGGGCCTGACGAACGTTCACTTCAGTAGACTGCCAACGTTAAGCAATTTTCTAGTATATTTTTGTCGATCTTAATGATCGACAAACGAGTGCGCTAGCGTAAAAACTTTAGTCTTTCCAGTGCGACCAAAATTTCGAGAGCTCATCAGAATTAAGCGTGCTACGGCTGTACTGTCAATCAGCTGGGTTGATCGACAAGCAGTTAAAATTCAAAAATCGTATTTACTGGAAAGAGCCTTTAAAAGATATTATGAACTACTTTGGCAAAATAAGTCTTTTTCTCTCCATTATTTAAAATATTTAGTGAGAAGCGCACGCCAAAAGATAAAATTTTTTAATCTTTTCGCTAAGGTTCACCCAAAGTTTCAATTCGATATCTTTGGAACTGAGAGACTAGTTTGCGTAGAAACAGACAGACGGAAAGACGCACATGCTTATATAAACTCAGGAGGTGATCCTGATCAAGAATATTTATACTTTATAGGGATACTTTCGCAGCCTTTAACAATTTTTCCTACGGAAGCTATAAGATATAGACATCCGAACGGCAAGCGCTTTTACCCTAATCAATATATGCGTAAATAAATAAATAACAAGAGAAAACGCTATAGTCGAGTGCCTCGACTATTAGATACCCGTTACTCAGCTAAACAACTTAATATAAATATGCCTTCTTGTACAAAAAGGTTGTTGTTGCAATTGCAACTGAGTACAATGTAAATACATACATATGTATATGCTTACATAAAACACATACGCCATTGTTTGACTCAGACCTCCAATTTGGCTAACTTGATTTGATTTCATAGTTCTTGGGATATAGTTCGGTATTGACAAATGAAAACAATAAATTAGCGTTGACTCTGTTGAGCACCTTGGTCAGCTGTTCCAAAGTCATCCGTTAGATGGCGCCATAAAAGGCGGAAATGTAGGCGCTAGCCAGGCTAAAGCGTTTAATGGGTTTTTGGGCGTTAGAGTGGGCGTGGCAAACTTTTTTTAGGCCAATCGATATTTATTGACGAAACAAATACATATCAATTAAAATTTTCATAATATCATCAAAACTGTGGCCAAGCTTGTGGCTTATGGGCGTCAGAGGGGCGTGGCACCATTTTGAAACAAACTTGCGCTGCGTAGGAACTCCTAAAATCTACATGCAAAATGCCAATCTTCTAGCTTTTATAGTTTCCGAGATCTCAGCGTTCATACGGACAGACAGACGGACAGACAGACGGAAAGACAGACGGACATGGCTAGTTCGACTCGGCTAGTGATCCTGAACAAGAATATATATACTTTATAGGGTCGGAAACGCTTCCTTCTACCTGTTACATACTTTTGCACGAATACAATATACCCTTTTACTCTACGAGTAACGGGTATAAAAATATATGTCAGTAGCTTACACACTGCGCGAAAAATTCTGAAAATCATCAAATTTGGACCGATTTCACCCTATTGTTCCTATGGGAGCTATAGGATATAAACGTCCGATCGTCACGCGCATTTACCCTAATCAAGGTATGCATAAAAAAATACGATTTGGAAAGATTCATGTCAATAGCTTTTATACTGCGCGAAATATCCTAAAAATCATTAAATTTTTCCAATTACCCTGATCAAGGTATGCATAAAAAAATAAGATTTGAAAAGATTTATGTTAATAGCTTTTACACTGCGCGAAATATCTTCCATTCTTGCAAGTTATATCCGATTGTTCCCATGGGAGCTATAGGATATAGACATCCGATCGGGGCGGCTTTCAAACTGTTTTAGGACGACTGTGAAAGTTTCAGATCGCTAGCTTTTAAACTGAGCTCGCAAACGGTATTGAAACAGACGGACAGACGGACATGGCTATATCGAATCCTCTATTAATCCTGACCATGAATATATGTACTTTATGGGGTCGGAAACGTCTCCTTCACTGCGTTACAAGCTTCTGACCAAAATTATAATACCCTCTGCAAGGGTATAATATTAATCAAAATATTTGTTCACAAAATGACCGCAGTGCAAAACTGTAACATTTTATTTATTTTACTGTTTTCTCCAGAATTTGTTACTCCATTATTAAATGGCTTCAATGGCTTCTACAAACGTAGTGTATGAACATACCAACAAAACAAAACTAATATTATTAGCGTGCATATATTAGCACAGAAGTTACAGACCTTTGAACTCGTGTTACAGTTTTGCTCGTCAGTGTAGGTTGTCTGTATCCCAAGGCTGCCGTTTATTTGCCATACTACCCATATGGTTCTAAAACTTTCCAAAACGTAATTTGCGCTCTACTCTTGTGAGAAGTCGAAAATTTGTTTTTATTTTGGAAAAATCTGCAGGGGTATTATCTTCCGTTCTCTTTATACCCTTGCAGAGGGTATTTTAAAGACCCCTTCGATCCTTTGCACGGAGTACATAAGTCGGAACGGCCGGGATCGGCCGACTATATCCTATAGCCGCCATATAACTGATTGATCGGAAATGCTATAACTTTGGTGTTTGTAAAGTTAGGATTTACTTGGGATTTTCTAAAAGTTTTATTTTTGGCCAATCAATCCGACCTTCCAAATTTCATAAAAATCGGCCGACTATATCCTATAGCTGCCATATAACTGAAAGATTGGAAATGCCATAACTTACAGAATATTTTGCAAGGGTATATCAACTTCGGCTCCGCCCGAAGTTAGCTTTCCTTTCTTGTTTAACGAGATATTGAATAAAGCCCAAGAGTAGGACTATCACTAAATTATGTTACATATATTACTGTTAACAAACAAAGTGATTTTTAGGCCTGTACCCATAAAATAAAGTAAAAAGGCATTTGAAAATATAATTGATTTTAAATTTATAAGGTTGTCATTGTTTATCTTAGAAATGGAAAGATGATTGTTGATTTTTACGTTTATGACCCTTCGGTTTTAAGAGGCTCTGGTTGTCTGTAATAAAAACACATATAACCGCATATTCATGTATGTACATATATGTAGGTAAACATTTTGGTTTGTATAGAACTCTACATATATATGTACATATGTAGATATGAATAGAGATGTTTAAGCATTTCCCAGGTAAAATGAAATCCAGTTCGTGCTCTTATATACTCTTATCTATTTTAAGCTAGAATCACCCACCTGGCTTACAATGACTCTCAAATTATAATAAACAACACAGGGATGGACACATTGCCGACTCTATAAAGTACACATGTACAGTTTGTCAAGTAATTATTTGCAAAATGAAAAATGTCATCGAAAATTTATAAACAAAAACAAGATTTTTCACAGCTTTTCTTTTGTAATATTCTTTTAGAAGCGTTAGCTAAATGTATTCATAAGAAAATACCGTATTTCAGCACAAGCAAAACTTCGGCTCGCCGAAGTTTTTATACCCTTGCAGATATTACAAAACGACTATATTTCTGTTTATATGCGTATATTACTACAAACAATGAAGCTTTATGATATTGTTTTCGATTATGGGAGCCCGAAAGTGCTCATTTTTGGTTTTTTACGGTTTTTATTACCCTTGCAGAGGTTTTTATACCCTTGCAGAGGGTACTTTAATTTCAGTCAAAAGTTTGCAACACAGTAAAGAGGACATTTCCGACCCTATATATTTTTGATCAGCATCACCAGGAGAGTCGATCTAGCCATGTCCGTCCGTCCGTCTGTCCGTCTGTCCGTCTGTCCGTCCGTCTGTCCGTCCGTTTGTCCGTCCGTTTGTCTGTCCATCTGTCCGTCCGTCCGTAGGTATGCATACAAAAATACGATTTCGAAAGATTCATGACAATAGCTTATATACTGCGCAAAATATTCTGAAAAACATCAAGTTTTAATCGATTTCACCCTACTGTTCCTAAGGGAGCTAACGGATATAGACGTCCGATCGGCACGCGCTTTTACTTTGATGAAGGAATGCATAAAAAATACGATTTGAAAAAATTTATGGCAATAGCTTTTACACTGCGCGAAATAATCTGAAAAACATCAAATTTGGACCGATTTTACCCTATGGTTCCTATTGGAGCTATAGGATATAGATGTCCGATTGCCACGCGCTTTAACCCTGGTAAAGGTATGCATACAAAAATTAGGTTTCGAAAGATTCATGACAATAGCTTATAAACTGCGCGAAATATCTTCAACTCTTGCTAGGTATATACGATTGTACCCTACCCTACCTACAAACTTGATCTGCGTACACATTTTTTATGACGACTGTGAAAGTTTCAGATCGATAGCTTGTAAACTGAGCTCGCAAACGGTATTGAAACAGACGGACAGACGGACATGGCTATATCGACTCGATTTTGCGCTGCATTTTGCTGTCGTTTCTATGGCAGCTGTATGAAATTGTTGTCCGATTTTGAAAAAACTAAATGTGTATTTCTGATATTGTAAATAATTTCTATATCTCAAAGGAGTATTTTGATAAATAGAAAAACCGAAATAATACATAGTTTAGTTTTAACGAAATTTAATATTTTGCAAACAATTACTTGACAAACTGT